TTTTATGGAAGAAAAATGGTACATTTAATACAAAACAAAAATGGAACAATTTTAAGGCTACTTCTCTTGAACTTACGATCGAGATACTTTTGGAAAATACAAAGTTTTGCCTTCCTAATTTTCGTTCTAAAAAGATATAATTTGTATCATTGAATTAATATTTCTGAAAAAGAACGAAAAGTTAGGCATCAAAACTTGTATTATTTCCTAAATTCGTTCATAAGACGTAGTTTTATCTAGCACAAGATGTATATACGAAGCAAAATACAAAACACACGGTAGTCACAGCTGCAATGTGTAAACAGAGTTTAGATGTAATACACAAGCATTGTGTATCCTACGGCACACTGTGTATCCCTTACTTTGTGTATACGTAAATGTTATACTGTGGCTACATTGTGAGGCGGACGTTTAACCTTTGTGCATACGTGTTGAACTACAATGTGTAAACGTAGCATATTTACATCGGGGGAATTGTGTCACCCTGTGTCTACATCTAATAATGTAAACACATCGTAAATGTGATTTGATGTGCTGTATGGGAGTTAATCACCGCGACCTTATAGATCTATTGTGTGTTCCCCTTTTTTGAGTTATAACGAGTTATAACTCATCATACAGTCTCAGGGCTTTAACAAAAGCCAGTATCTGAGACGGCTCCACAGAGGCCAGCTCTCCATCCTCGACATCAGCCGTACCAAAGTTCATGGCACGAATGGTCGTCGTCTCGGCGCACTCAGTGATAAGTTGTTCTGGTGTTTTCCCCACAGAATCTGCATTCGCCGTTGTTTCTCAGCTTCAGCCTACTGAGGTGTTCGTTGAGGAGACAGTGTCCTGTTAGAACATGTCTAAGAACTTTTTGGATAACAACATATATACCAGGTGATCCATTTAAAATAACAAAAATGCTACTAACCTTTGGAATGAGGCGAACACACTGTAACACTGAAAATAATTCAGATAGTTGAAGCAGGTGCCTATATGTAAAAATCCAGATTTTCAAAAACATTTGCTCAATCGCCATCTAAACTACCATTGCCGTGAATCACCCTATATACACGCCCACAGTTTTCTCACATATACACACATCGTGCTTAGGAATGGGTTTGACGGGAAGGCACTCGAAGAATTCCCGGCGCTCGGCGTTTCGGCAGTTGACAGAGCCGCAGGAAGAACAGCGTGTCTCGGGATCCGCCAGTCCTACAGGAATGTCTCGGCGAAAACGGGAATGTTTCGATTACATACTTGTCGTCCCTGCGAAGGATTAATCCTTCTAGCTGCGTCTCCCGCAGGACGACGACGAAATTTTAATGCGCTGTGAGTAATGTAAGAAATGAACGTCTAGGCGATTAAATGCCATATTAACCTCAATATTATACAAATAACTTAGGGTGTATTCCGTTGCTTACGTTGGTTATGGTTTTATGTTCCGTTTCAATTGGTTTCCTGAAAGTTTTCTTATTACGGAACACGGTTCCTGAAAAATTCGGTTCTAACTGTCACCAAACTAACCAGCCAGCGCGAGAAGGCTAGTTTTTCTGGTTTTGTTTGTCAATCAACGTCATTTATGTGACAGAAATCAAACAAATATTGGAAGTTCGAGTGAAATTCTCATTTAATTTCTAAAATTTCTAATAATATTTTGTATTTACATTTACATCCAAAAGCAATGGAGGTAGGCAGTAAAGGTAAATAAATTTCATTAACAAAATAGAATGAATTTTTAGGATCATTTAAACTTATCATGCAGCCATTGTTTCTTAAAGTCAGTAACATTTAAAGAAAACATGAAAAACAAGACAAGTAATCGTGTATGTTTTGTAAGCTATAAAAATATAAATATTGGTTAGATTTGTTTATTTATTATTGATCTGTTTTAATATTGGACCTACAAATCTACACTTGAGCTGTCTAACGAGTTTAACAGTTTATTAATTAAGTACTCTTCAATATGAAACTACAATGAAAAGAAGAAGCAAACGTAAAAGCAGAGAATAGGTACATTAAAAATGCATAAAATATAAATTTTATAATAGAGGTACTGAAATTTAGAAAACGTCAACATTTGACGTTTCCAGTATTTTACCAAACCGTTCCGTATAAAACCGATGTTTTCAGGAACCGCTCTTTACCGTAATTTACCGGTCTGGTTCGCCTGGTTTTGCAACGGAATGCAGCCTTAGTGTTCTACAAAAATTTCCGTATTAGTTTTTCTATTTTGACATTTTGACTAGCAATGCCACAAGAGTTTAAATTTTTTTTCGGAATTTTTTTCATAAAACTCTCATGAATAATATTTTGAAAATTATTTCTTTGATAATTTTTTAAATATTCCGGATTTCATTTAAAAAAATCATACTTTGATTTAGAATTTTAATTTTCATTTGTTTTATAATTTATTTATTTTATTTTATTTCTTTTATTATTTATTTATAATAAATGACTCCTATAATAAAAATATTATACCGGATGGGTCTCAAAAGTGGCTCACCCCTATAAATTTATTATTTTTTCGGATTACAGAACGAGATTTGGTATATTAGTATATTGTTTTCGGCCACTTCCTGTTTCACTGGAAATTACTACAACCTTTGATTTTTAAATGGCACCCTAAGTATTTTGTTACTTTATTCGATAGAAAATGACACTCAAAATAAAATGACATATATCGTATGGCAGTAAAAATTATTCGTAAAAGAATGTTTTTTTTCAAATATGCTAATGAGCTACCCTCGATTCATTTTAAACAATTGATATGATTTGGGCATCTTTTAAGCGGCCAGAACAAGACACTAAAAACATTAGACTATCAAATCTATTTTTCCAAGGGTCCTTCATTAAAAATTAGAGTTTTTAACACAGTTGAAATTTAAAATACAATTTTGTTTTAGGCGAAAATGTCAAAAGTTGACATGATATGTCATTTTATTTAGAGGTCATTTCCGGTGAAATAGGAAGTGACCAAAAACAATTGAATACGTCAATCAATCCTAATTTATGTCATTTAATAACATACCAAATCTGTTTTTTTATCTGAAAAAAATAAAAAAGTTATAGGGGCGAGCCGCTTTTGAGACCACCCAGTATGTAGCTCTTACAATAAAAAAAAATTAAAAAAAAGTAAAAATATTTTCCTGAAATACATCCTACTTGTACTATAGGCACTTATACAAAATTCATTGGTTTTTTTTGATAGGAGTTACAGATGCCCGACGCATTGCTGCCGAGCCGTAGGAAAAACTTTGAACCGTTTTGCGGCAACTTTTTGATAGGCACTCTTCTAACATCATACACGAATAAAAATAACTTTAATTTGACATATAAATGATCAAAAAAAAATATGAGCGTAATGTCGCGTCTTCTCCAAAATCAGTTATTATTATTAATTAAACATAGTTGCGGCAACTTTTTGATTGGCTATTTGTATTCTTCTATTCTACCGGATGCGTCCCAAAAGTGGCACACCCCTATAACTTTTTTATTTTTTTTTGATAAAAAAAACAAGATTTGGCATGTTAGTATATGACATAAATTGGGATTGATTGACGCATTCAATTGTTTTTGGTCACTTCCCCTTTCACCAGAACTACAACTTTTAATTTTTAAATGGCATCCCCGGTATATTTTTACTTTATTCGATAGAAAATTATATTCTGGATAGAATGACGTATCATATGTCAACTTTTGACATTCTCGCTTAATAAAAAATTGTATCTTAAATTTCATTCTAGAGTGCCATGGCTATGTTCAAAACACTAATGCTTAATCAAGGAGCCTTGAAAAAATAGATTTGATCATCTAATGTTTTAGTGCCTCATCCTGGTCGGTTAAAAGCTGCCCAAATCGTATTTTTAATCATATCTCAACTTTTTCAAATGGAACGAGGTTGGCTCATTAGCGTTTTTGGAAAAAGCATTTTTTTACAAATAATTTGATACCACACACTTGGTATTTCGAGTCAAATTTTCGTTACGAACCGCAAGTTCTAATTTCAAATAAACCATATGCGAAAATGTCAAAAGTTGACATATGATATGTCAGTCTATTCAGGGTGTTATTTTCTATCGAATAAAGTAAAAAAAAAATACCGAGGGTGCCATTTAAAAATCAAAAGTTGTAGTCATTTCCGGTGAAACAGGAAGCGACCGAAAACAATTGAATACGTCAATCCTAATTTATGTCATATACTAACACACCAGATCTCGTTTTTTTAACTGAAAAAATAAAGTTATAAGGCTAAGCCACTTTTGAGACGCATCCGGTATATATAAATATACGTAAAAATCAGGTTTTGATTAAAAATACGATGAGCGTAATAATCCAGCAGCCGGATCATTTGCTATTAGGTTAGGTAAGTACTTAATCAAAATCAGCATAATTTCCTTGTAAGTAATACACCTATTTTTTCATAATATGACTACTAAAACTTAACGTGGTTTTTGGACCATTACAACTGAGAATAAATTACTTAATATTTTAGAATACCATTTTATGTCCTTATATTTAGAATACCATTTCATGTCCTTATAACAAAAATACCCAAGGAAAAAGCTATTGTACTCTTTCTTTGGCACGAATTTCAAAACAAACTTCATGAGAACCTTGCACAACCTGCAAGGATACACAAAAATCCTCTTTGTACAAACAACTCCGGCCGAACAATTGATGTCGTATATTCGCAGTTCCGATCCTAAAGTAATTAATAAACAAAAATAAACAGCGATACTCGTTCACGAATCCTTCCTTAGCGACCGACCGTTCCCATTATTATTCGTAATTAAAACAATAAAAACTGACGTACAAAGGCCCTTAGCAAGACCATTAAACGGGGAAAAAAGCCTTTTAATTAATATTATCGAAACAATACAAGCATCGTCGAAACTGTAGCCCGTCTGATGCGAGAGAAAAAATACCCGACACAAAACTCTCTTTCCTCTGTTTTAGAGAACAATATAATACGTTTAGTGAGTTTTTAAAAGGAGAGGGATATAGAGACTTACCGCGTATTTTTCGTTCTTCGTGAAGCTGTCTGTCTAGGTTGTCTTTTTCGTCCCGCTCACGTAAGACGTCCATCTTCAGTTCAGCTGAAAAGAAGAATATACTATTAAATTTATTTATTATTTATTGTATACGGCTACACATCAAAAAATAACAAATAAAAACCACCAACACATACAAAAGATAAAAAAGTACAAGAAACAAATGTTTATATTACAAACAAAACCGTCACAAACGTCAAAATGGATTTATATCAAACCATGTTATCATTTTACTATGCAAAAATATCTTTTACAGCTTTCAAAAAGAACATTGCTTTTTAAAAATGTCCGTGTACCATACTTTTGTTGATATCGGGTCAATCAATAATTTTCCCATTCTGCTCGATATATTGATGATGTTGCCAGTATTACTCATCAAACAATACGACTGTTATAATATTAAATAATTAAGGCCGCGTAAACAAACAAACATAACATATGCAATTTTATATACTAACTAGCGTGTACCAGCGGCTTCGTTCGCGTCGAATTAATCATTTGTAATGGTGATGATAAAGGAAAGCAAGAATTTCCATTAACATACAAACTGGATAAAATTTTCTCACATTTATGTCAGCATGAGAAAAAACAATAAGGCGATATTATTATATAACTTGGTAATACTTGAGGGGTAGTTTCATCTCGTTGGAATTTGACTTTCGAAAAATCCGTTTGCCAAAAATAAGCTTTAAACGTCAAGCAGTTTAAGCAGAATCGTGATTTCAATGGTCATATTTTATGAAACACCCTGTATAAATTTATAAAAAAATCTTAAAATATGTAAAAAAACAAAATAAAATATACGTGTTTAAGAGTTTTTCCGAAAAACTGACCGGTTTTTAAATAAAAAAAATTCACAGATTTTGCAACATGCGCAACCATCATAGGCGTATTGAAAATACCAGACACAAGTCGGCGGTTGACGTCAGCACTCCGGCAGTCTGTGGTGCGTCCCTTGTGCGTAGGGATGGCAGAAAAAAATAATAAATCGATATATCGTACCGAACGATATATCGTAATGCATATATCGATGTCGATATATATCGGACAAAATATATCGATATATACCATATATCGATACATTTTGATAAAGGTAAAAATTAAAACAAAAAACGGGCCTAAAGGATTCTTATATTTGGAAAATAAACATTTATTAGTTATGTCATAACTCCTAGTTAGTATTTACTTTGTTATTAAAGGTGAAAGACAAATAACACATAATAACAATACACATAAAACAAATAACATAAACATTTAACTAAACTAAAAACCATTCAACTGATGCTGACAATCTGTCAACACCAGCACAGCACTATACTATTATTATAATATTAAAATATTAATTAAATTATAAACATAACAAACTAAAATGAAAAATTTTCCGGAAGAGATCCTAGGAAAAGAAGTTTCGATAGTCTTTTCCCAGTTAACCGATTCCGGTTTTTCGTCATCGTTGCTCCAGCTTTTGAGAACAACCGTTCACTGGGAACTGAAGTGGCTACCACACTTATGTATTTTTGCGCCAGTTTATAAAGATTGGGATATACTGTTTTCATTTCATCCCATATTTCCTGTGGATCTTCTTTTAAACTTCTGACTGGCACAGATAAATATTGATTTAATTCGTCAAACTTTTCTTCAGTTTTTCTGCTCTTTTTCGTATGTGCAATATTTTTGTGATGGGCCCACAAGTCAAAAGTCGCCTGCTCTTCTTCACCTTTATCAGAAAGATCAGAAGATGAAGAAGACTGATCTGGTGCATTGGTTATCTCATTTTTCAAATGCCTAATAATAGTTGAGAGGGCAAGTGGATCTTGGAAATGAATATTTTTAAATCGAGGATCTAATATTGTTGATGCTGCCAATAAAAAACACTTCTCCACATATCCAAATCTTTTATCAAATTCCTTTATGATTGAAGTTTTAAGGTTTCTTGCTATTTCTGTATCACAACTAGTTTTATTATACTGTGATGTTAAACATCCTATCATGGGAATTATTTTACTAAGTGTGACATAATTTTGTCCACTCATTTCTTTGGTTGTTTGTTCCAATGGATGAAGAAGTTGGCAGATCTGCTTTAATTCCTCAAGCTCTGTGGCATTTACCATATTTGGTGCATTCATATTGGACAAAATTATGGTTCCTAGTAGTGGAGCTAATTTCAAGAACCTTTCTATCATGAAATAAGTGGAATTCCACCTTGTTTTTATATCTAGTATTAATTTTAAACAATTTCCTTCGAGGATACCCCTACTTTTTTGCACTTTCCTCAGTTCATCACTAGCATACACACTTCGCTTAAACCATATAACAATTGCTCTTACTTTTTCAATTAAGGCTAACAAGTTTGCTGTATTTTTTACAGCATTTTCACAAAGCAAGTTTAATGTATGGGCAAAACATGGTACGTGCTTTTGTTTTCCCACTAAATCCTGCGCGGCTTTCACCATATTTGCACCATTGTCTGTTACAATGGCAACTACTTTTTCCATGTCAATGTCCCATTCATTTAAACAACTAGCCAATATTGATGAAATATATCCTGCAGTATGTGATTCATCCAGTTCACTAACTCCTAAAGTAGCTGAAAGCATAAGTAAATCTTTAATGAAATGGATAGTAACACCAATAAAACTTTTGGCCTGCATATCTGCAGTCCATATGTCTGTCGTTACAGTAAAATGGTTTATATTCTTTATCATGGTTTTGAATGCCCCTGACATGACCTCAAACTGTTTATCGACTCTATCTTTTATAGTATTTCTAGTTGGAACTCTATACATAGGGGCCAATTCTTTCATTAAATTAACAAATCCTTTGCCTTCCACAACGTTAAATGGCATGTTATCATTTATTACAAAACCAACAACAGCTTGCGTTATTTTTATATTTTTAGAACCGCCATCTGGAAGTAAAAGAGAATATTATAATATGTAGCAGTCACAGTAACATTTATGTTTCTATTTACCAGAGAATGAACGAACATCTTTTATTACTTTTGTAATTGTTGGCTGTATGAAACTAGTTTCTATTGAGCATCTAGTACCACTAGTACTGGGAGTAGAATCAATCATTTCAAGAGAAGCCAAATGCTCTTCAACAACCACCCCACTACTTGAAAGATTCCCTTCAGATTGAAGCGTTATTGTAGATGATGGAGAAAGGGGCCTGTCATTTATATCTGTGGCAATACTCTATAAACATAGTTAAGGGTTACTATTTCAAACAATGCCTGAAAGGTTCACTTACTTCCTTTGTTGTTTCAGTACGGGAATGTTTTATTTTCTTTGCCGGAGCTTCGTCCTCTTCATTACAGAACAATTGTTCATAAACATTTGTATGTTTTTGTTTGAGATGATTCTTCAAGTTAGAAGTATTTCCAGACGTTTTCAATTTTTTTGAACAAATTTTGCATTGTGAAAGTTCCTTTGATACTTTTGTAAAGGATCTCCAAATAACGGATCGTGATGCCAATGGAGCCATGATGTCACAACACTAAGTACAATCACAAATCACAACACTTTTAAAATAATATATTGTGTATGATATATTGAATAAGTGTTGATAACAGTTGATAAGTGTGGTTTGAGTGGTTTGATTTGGAAATGGTTTGGACCATTGGTTTGGACATTGGGTTTGGATGACAAAAGACAACTGACATATTGCATGACAATTGACAATTCAAGGTCCAGTTATAGAATTGGGTATACTAATATCGATATATTTTTCGAAGTATCGATATATTTTTCGATATATCGCAAAAGACGTATCGATATATTTTTATCGATATATATTCAAAATAAATCGATATATCATATATATCGATATATCGTTGCCATCCCTACAGAAATCAAATCAGTCGGATTTTGAAAGGGGTTGGGTGTACATCATTCTACAATATATTTACGATTTTGAAGGTTATCCATACATCTCGAGACGTTTAATCTTTTAACAATAAAAATAATTAAACGTCCGGTTGTATCTATACTGCTCATGTTTTTGTTGCTGTTTCAGCATAAGTTAAAACAAGCATTAAAAAAATGACTAAAAATCAACTTTAAAAAAGGACAATTAGCAAAATAATTATAAAAAATTAAATCAAAGGTTCAAAAATACCTCCCTGTTGTGCTTCGCAATAGCCAAGACGGTTATAAAACTCTGACCTAACTTTAGCTAACATAACAGCGGGGATATTTTCTAACGACTGAACGATTTTTAATCGCAGCTCGTCAATATTCATGGGTCGTTCATGGTTATGGCCATAAATGGAGTTTTTTACATATCCCCACAGAAAGAAGTCATTGGGCGACAAATCAGGAGAACGTGGTGGCCAATTAATTGTGCCTTGTGTGGAAATTAGCCGATTGGGAAATGTGGTTTGAAGGAACAGATTTACGTTCCGCGCGTTATGCGCAGGACAGCCATCCTGCTGAAACCACACTTCCTCAAAATTGATTGGCAAATTTCGAACTGCTGGTACAATTTGGTTTTGTAGCATATCCAAATATTTGGCAGCTGTTAACATACCATCAATAAAAAAAGGCCCAATGATATGATTTTGCAGCATGCCAGCCCAAACATTTAGTTTTTGTGGATATTGTGTCCGCAGTGCCATACTAAGGTGCTTATTTTCTCGAGACCAATAACGTACTATCGAAGGATTGTGGTAGCCATGTAAGGGAAACGAGCTTTCATCTGAGAATAATATATTTTCCAAAATAAATTATTCCGATCGGCTCTTTCTCTTACAGCCTCGCAAAACTCCAGACGTCTGTTACAATCTGCGGGAAAAATTTCTTGCGTGGTCTGATTTTGTAGGACTTATATCCATGCCTTTTTAAAACTCTGCGCACCGTTCGAGCATTGCAACCAACTTGTTCGGCTATATTTCGGCTTGAACAAGGTTCGCTTGTTTCGACAGCGGCACAAATATTAATTTCCTTGTCGGGAATTACCTTCTCTGCGCCTTCCTTATTGTCACAATTTCTGCACGCCGCAATGCAGCCTGTTTGCTCAAATTTATGAACAATGTTGCGTACAGTTGTGGCATAAGGCACAGGGCGATCTTGAAAGGTGAACACATAACGCCCAATGACCTCTTCCACACTTGAGGAAATGTAAAACCATTTAACGATATGCACCTTCTCTTCGGTCGTATAAATAGCCATTTTTGAAACACTTAACGTACACACCGAAACAGCTAGGCGAAAAGAATGATGCAAAAATAGTTTGGATCTCAGGTGATCTATTTCCTTTCCCCACCTTTTCATCTACATAAAGGTGCGTATTCACTATCCGAACGAACGAATGCTACTATCCAACGAGCGAACGTCCAGTCTTGTTCGCGCGGTTCTATAATTCTCATTCGTTTGCGAACGTCTTTGATATACCGAATGGAAACAGATGAGGGAGCGAACCGAATGGCGAACGGCCGCATGCATTCGGTTTGCTGTCCAAATATACCGAATTTCATTCCTTTGTTCTTTCGGATAGTGAATACGAACCTTAACATAAAGCACCGCCCCTCTCAATGCGTTCTCCCACCATGCTTATGCTTTACCTTGCCCACACCCGTAAAAACCGGCAACACTGTATCGGTCGCACCGGCTTCTCGCCGGCCCCTTTTGATGCTGTCTCTCTGTCTGTCAACCGGTCATTTATATTATTCTCTGTCTTACACGTTAAAATCCTATACACAGTAATCAAATGACCAGGTCGGTATATGTTGTAGTTATTAACTGTATATTATGTATATTTCATGTAAACTATATCATTTTTAAAATACAAACCAAAAATCTGAGGAATAATTATGTTTTCGATGTATTCTACAACATATTTATTAATCCGTAGTATCTAACTATCGTGACGTCATAAATCTCGCCCCAAGGCTGTTCTATTAGAGACGGCATTGGTTTTACCAGTCCCGGGCGCAATCTCAAAACGTATCTTTCTCTGCTTTCGTCGATGTGGCCTCCCCTTTTTCGATTCAGTTGGACCAGTCTACTCTTCCGCCGCTTTTACTACGCAACTCCCCTATTCTGGATCGTCTTGCGCAAATGGACTCGTCCGGCTTCGACCTTGAACGATAGAAATTGATCGGAAAAGTATGGATTTTCTTTGAATCTATGACATAATTGAAAACTTCACCAGCTATCCGGCTCGAAGGACCAATATGTTGAAGATTGAAGTTTTTAATTGCAATAGTAATACCTCTGAGTAATACTATCAACAAAGAAAAAGTTCAATCTTCAACAAGGTTCTTTAGGCATTCTTTGACCTATTTCGAATTGATGGTTACGGACTTGAAGGCTGCTTGACTGTCGGACAAAATGATAATATCTTGTTTCCGATAGTTCCTATCTAAGATAGTTGTACGCATCTTTCGATAGCGTTGATTTTTGCCTGAAGGATGCTGGTAGGAGAATGTAGTTTGTATAGAAGGGGAGAGATATCATCGCGACTCTACAGATCTATTGTGATGTTTCTTGAGTTATAACTTATAACTCATCATACAGTCTCAGGGCTTTGACAAAAGCCAGTATCTGACACGGTTTTACATAGGTTAGTTCTTATTATCCGATATTAGTAGTACCTAAGTTCATGGCATGCAATGACTAAAGAATACAAGGACGAATAACACCTGCGACCAAATTGTTACCATACCACCAAACAGTGCCGTGGCACAAGATTTTTCTTAACCTAGCCGCTTGAAGAGATATTGATATTTTTTATGAATGTTTTAACTATGCCTATGGTGTATGCGGTAGTATATCGTACTAATTAATTACGAAAAAAACGTATTAAAATTTTAACAAAAGGTACAAAACTAGTATCGACGTATAGCACATATCAAGTACATACATATATAATATCAGAAAAATAATTATCGAATTCAATAAAAAACGCTAAAAAGGTGGAGTTGGCCGTTTATTTACCTATGAAACGTAACTACTGGCATTCACCCGTGAAAAAGTTGGGTGCAGTCCAGCATGAGGTTGCCCACTGAGAGTACGTGCATTGGAGCGTTTTATGAGTGGTTGCCACATTGTTGAAATTTCCATACTTGGATTGCTAAAGATTTTTATTATTGCTTGATATGAATACGGCCTCTTTAAATTTGCGTTTTTCCCAAAGGGGTTCTTTGTGGACAACCCGGGATTCCGGCCATTTTATGTTATGGTGCTTGGACCACACATTATCTGCAATGCCCGACTTCATTGTTTCACCTCTTTTCGTATGTTTTTTTATGTCCGTCAAGTCGTACATGGGGAGGACGTTTTGTCTCTCCAATATACGACTCACCGCACTCGCAAGGTGCCTGGTAGATGCACTCTATTTCTTTTTTTGATGATCTCGGTTTTGTTTTTATTAGAACTCTTTTTAGAGTAGTCCTAAACTTAAAAACAATTTTAATTTTATACTGATTAGTTATTCGCCTGATCTTCCCCGATGTTCCTTTCCAGTGGCGGATACAGAGGGGGCCGGGCCGGGCCCTCCCTAAAATCTGTAAATTGGGTTAAATCTTAGGCTTTTGGGTTAAAAATGGCGCCCTAAAAAGCATATTCTACGATACTTTTTATTTTGGGCCCCCCATAAAATAAATTCCTGTATCCGCCCCTGTTCCTTTCACATATGGAATCGTCAAGAAAGAGATGGAGCATCCTCCTCAGACTGGCGCACCGATGAGTAGTTCACCATTGATAACGGTCAGTTAACCCGGCATCCGACATGTGAATGTTTCTCACTACTACCGACAGGTGGGGTGTAGCAAACCCCAAATTTTACATAAAGAAAGTTAACACTAGCGTGTATTTTTTTTCGTGCTTTATTATAGCTAGATATTTTATTTGATTGGTGATTTTTAATTAAAATACGACAGTATCTAACGTTGTTTTTATTGAAAATGTAGACTTAAAAAAATCAATTTGCTTATTTTTTTAATAAAATACAAACAAAACTTTGCTCTTTCTACGTATAACAGAAAAAAATTGAACTACTTTCTAAATAAACAAAGTAACTACTAATAATAAAAATAAAATATCGTTTAAAAATAATTATAATTAGGTAACAAAAATATTAGTCGTCAACTTTAGTACAGTTTTTCCAGTATATATGTGAATCTTCATACATAAAAATACATTGCACGATTCACATACGTATCTCGTTTTTCTGTCTCTTGCTCGAGGACACTCGGAACACCTTCCCTGTTGGTTTACCCTAGATTTTTTTTGAGGGGGTTCACTAGTTTCTCCTAATAGGTCTCGAATACAGCATCGTAATTCTCGTGTTAGCCTAGGATTTGACATTCTTTTTCTTTGATGGTCCTGTATTAACTGCTTACCTAATTCTTTCAAAGAAAGCCTCCTTGTCATCTGAAGACCATCGTTATTTTCCCTGTAAATAATTTGGCTGTTGATTCCTGCATTGTTCAAAAGTGAGAAAAAAACTGTAAGAGGCCATCGTCGGCTCTGACGTGCGACATTGTAGGTTGCAGACATTTCGTCGACTACATCGACTCCACACTTCGTTATATTTGTTCCATTTTGACTCCACACTTCGTGATATATTCGTTCCGAATTGATATCTACTGTGTTATCGTGGTGGAGAGATGATAACAATAATGCAACTTTTCCCTTTTTTGGATAGTATGAAACGAGGGTGTAATCTTTTTGAAACCCAAACAAACTTGAATTGAATTCTCTATTTCTTGTGTTTAAAAACTCTGGAGGAATATGTGGTTTATTTTTCCGGATAGTTCCTACCGCAGTTAATTTATGAACGTCGCGTAAATGTACCATTAGTTCGTAGCTTGTATACCAGTTATCAAATGTAATGTTGCGCTTGGTTCCTGATACTGGAATTACTAAGCGGTCCACAATGTCCTTTGGACTATTGCTGACTCTAAATGGATCTTCAGGTTGCTGACCCACATATGGCTCCATATTAACTACATAATAACTACGTGCATCAACCAAAGCATGAATTTTTATGCCATACTTTGCACGCTTATTTGGCATGTATTGCCTAAAACTGCAGCGACCGCGAAATGATTCAAGCTTCTCATCTATTGTAAGGTACTCTGATGGTGAATAAGCGGCTTTGCAATTATCGATAAATTTGTCAAAAACAGCTCGGATATGTGCGAATTTGTCCAGTTTAGTCCTTTCAATTCTGTTCCTTTTATTGTCAAATCGTAGACAAGAAATCAGGAATTCAAATCGTCTCTGACTCATTGTAGCTCGGAAGATGTCCATTCCTGTACCGTCGGTATTCCACAATTCATAGAGATGACGGTGGTTATTTCGAAATGCACGATAAAAACAAAAGGCCAAATACTGCTTTTATTTCCGTTATATTTGTTTCGCCGTAATGAGGGGAACTTTTCCATTTAGCCGATTTTATCGAAATTCGAATATTTGTATGCTGAACTATTCCAGCTATCATTTGGTCGTCAATGAAGAGTAAAAAACATTCAAGGGCACTTCGTGCATCTTTCGCATAGCTCTTGACTTTTGGAAGATGTGTAATAATATTTTCTGCTCTTGTTCTTACATTTTTGTTAGGGTAGGCTTTAGACCACTTCATATCATTTTTGCCCACAAAAAAAGGACTCGTTTGGATTTCGTTGTCCACATTTTCTGATATCGACTGTTCATCCGCTTCATTACCTTCACCTTCTTGTAACTCATCTGGATAGTCACTAGAAATCTAACATTATCTATTTCGTTATCTTCTTCCGAGTCGTCTTTGTCGACAACTTCGTCAACTATTACTTCATCCCATAGAGCTAGGAGACGTTTCTGTTCCTTCTCCCAATCGCACATTACTATTTGGAATATAAAGAAAAAATAAATTTATGTTAAAAAATATTACAAAGGAGTAAATCAAAATAACTTACCTCAATTAACTTCAAACAGCGGTAAAAATGAACACTATAAAAAATTACGTAATACGACACGTGGGGTGTGACAAACCCCAGACCACTTTCAAACTAGCCTACTCACACGCTTGTCACTTTGTAACTGAAACGAAAGCAGGATCGTGTTCATATTAGATTTCTTGGAAGCTACTCAGGCGGAGGTGCCAGAATGTACTGAATTTCAGTATTTAACAGACTATTTGCGTGTGATGGGGTTTCTCACACACCACGTGTCGGACGCCGGGTTAACTAGATAACTTTCGGAGCTGTTACTCTGAGAAGTCTCATGACATTATTATATCAGGTTGTAAAACAGGTCAGCCTGAAGAAGATGCACCCTCTCTTGACGATTCCGTATGGAACATGAGAATAGATCAGAGCGAATAGCAACATCTAACAAAAACAAAACGGGAAATATCGAAATAATGAGGGAAATGTCTACAGTTTCTTTAACAGCATAAAGTAAAAGAAAAACGGTAAGTTAAATTAATAGACCCTAAAAAATATTCACTTTTTAAACTGTCTGTTATTAAAACAAATACCCATCATAAAGGAAAAAAATCTCATCGCTACAAGACGTCGCCAGCCGAGTGAGACCGTCTACAACAACTAAGCTCGGCTTCATGTAAATTTGCTCGGTTCTAAATTGTAACTAGCCCGTTACTACTGACCTTCCGTCTGCTGGCTACGTGAATGAAAATGCTAATTAAAAAAGCCAAGGACTATAACAGATTCTCCCGTGTATTTTACACGGTTAGAGGTATGTACGTGGCGAAGAAGAGAAATTCTCAGAAAGAAGAATTATATTTAACATTGTTTTAGAAAAAAATGCAATTAAAATTCAGGAAAGTTCGCCGGCATATTTTACCGGTAAAAATAGTTAAAAAAAGTTTGTGCAAATGTATGTTCTAAAATGCTTTCGGAGAAGTTTTTGGAGTTTTAGAGATTTTATTTTATTTCGATTTTTTCCAAACCACATCTGAACTAATGTCAATATTTGGATCAAAATTCGTGTCTGGATGTTTCTTTTATAGAAGAAATTTGATTTCGATGTCAATATGACTCCTAGTTTTAGGGGGCCCTTCCTACATATTTTTAACTGTTTTGAAGAGTAATAACGTTACGTCTATATAAAACTACTGAGTGATACATATTCCTCCAGTTTTTACTTAAAAAAGGCCTCTTGGTAAAAATCGCTAGACTAACCGTTTTCAAGATATTTGGAATATAAGTTTTCAAGTGTTGAGTAGATAGTTATTTGTCTGAAATGATAAATCTAGGAATTTTTTCTACTAATCATATTTTTTCTAGAAGTATTTTTTAGAAGTTATGATCGAATAGTTTTTGATGAGCTTGTTGCACAAAAACATTTGAAATTTATAATTTCAGTCAAACAACTATCTAGTCAACATGATCAATTTTGGTTAATGCTATGACATGATGTACGGCTTTTTGAGACCCTTTTAAGAGACCTTTTTTAGTTAAAAACGGCGGGATATATATTTTTTGTCGTTCAGTAGTAATTTTATACACTACGGACGAAAATATATTACTTTTCAAACCATCAGTTTAAAAATATATAGGCTGCGCCCTCTACAAGTAGTCAAGTTGAAAGAAAAGAAAGAACAAAAAAAAATGATTTCTTGTTTTTGAAACCTGATATAGACTTTTGGAACGCTTGGTCACCCTGTATATTTGTACCCCATTATTTAAAAAAAAAGTGAATAGAAATAACAGGCCAGTTTCAATATTTTTTTCGTAAAAAATTAAGTTTTTTTTAAATTTACCTATAAAGTATGATGACATATTAATATGTATAAACCAGAATTATTTCCTATGAGCATTCTACATAAGGTTCAGTCTGTGTGTAATTTTCGCTTGTTGCCCTCTCTGTCAAGCTGCCCTTAGAAGGATTAAAAATAAAGCGCACCTGTGTCGGCATAAAAGAGCTGGTGCGCCCAGCAGACCGTTTGTGCGTAATTGATTCTCCTTAGTATTAAGTGCGGATTAAAAATTATATGCCCTCTGCATGAGCTTAATATTTAATCCAATCCATATAACGAGGGACACAGGTGGATATTACCGCCTATTTCAGTTAATTTTTTATGACAAAGAGATATCGTATAGTGACTGGCAAAAGGTACGGAACGCATTTTTTTCTGTAATCTAATAATAATTTAAATAATATGTCCATTGTGTTTACATAATGTAAAAAATCCAGCTATAGATAATTAGATATCAACTAGTACCATTCCGGACATAGGTACTTCGGAAATTGGCGATCCAACTGGCTATGATGGTGCATGAAACTGGAAACAGCACTCTGAAAAGTTCAGTAGATGTTGAAAACACGTCGCATATTTTTATGCTATGAGTTTTGCCTTTTTCTCACAGACCTCCTGCTCTCAATTTGACCCTCAATAACCAACCAGTATCTCGTATCGTTCACCCCTCATGATGTAACCGTTAGAGAGTCGATGTAACCATTAGATGCATATGAAAGCATCAGAATTAGTAAATGTAAAGATAGTATGAACAGAGACAACGGTCCAATTCCTTCAAGTTCTATGTTCCTACTACTCTAGTGGCGGAAATCTAACTGTTACGCTCGGTGGGCTCTGACCGGTTGGCTAGATCTTGCCACGCTCACTCGATACCCACTTAGCGAGTATATAAACGGTCAAATTGTACTTTTTAGATTAGTCTTAATCATCTGCTGATGATGCTAACATGGTTAGCGAAACGCGCGTCCAGTGTAAAAGTAAAAGTGTTTTGGTGTATTGTGGTGATTTAGTGTTTTATTTTGCTGTGTAACACTAAAGGTTCCAACCCCCAACTGTAATGTAACCGATGCGATGTGTTACTGTAGTTTTCATTTCTTAACTGTTGATTAATTTTGATAACTCTTCTCTAACTCTTTATCGTTGGTTATTTGTTGAAGAAATAAGGAGATGCGCAACCTGATAGACAATTTCGTGGCACAAAACCTGTCCGAGATGTAGCTGGCGTTACCGTCAGCCTGTCCGACAATTCCGAGATTTAGTTTAACTCTGCGCCGCTGCGCGCTGGTAGTCATTTACAGCGCAGCAGGTAAAGAATACTGTACCATAGTTCTACTTTTAGTCGACAGAGTGAGCGATTGCCGGAGACAGTGTTGCCAGAACTACTGATTAATCTGTAAATTTACGGATTTTGGGTATAGTAAAGATATACGGATTTGGGTGTAGTAGATTAAACCTCGGATTACACAAAGATCGGCGTCAGAGTTGGCTTGGAAATGAAGATCGCTGTTATTTCATATGTAAAATATTATGGTAAATGTCAATAATTCGTCATTTCCAAGCCAACTAAACGACTTTTTTCTATCATATTCAGTACAGTACAGTATATAATAGAAAAAAAAAATCAATACATATTTTATCAATGGATATTTCATCCAAAGATATTTTCGTCAAACATATTACAGATATTACACATTTTCACTGTCGCTTTCAGTTCCACACCGTCTTCGGTATGCCTTCGCTGGCTGAATTAGGGAAAAAATTGTTTTATGCTTTAACCGTAGAACGATTGATTACTCCACCGTACAGCACCTGAGACGTAAGGGGCAATCAAATCGGCCTTCTCACGAATTCGCTCATTAGGTTGTGTATTTTCCAAATTCTTTCAAGCAACGCTCTTTACTTTTGCATATCCGCCTGAGCACCTCATACTTTACTCTATTCATCCAGGATACAAGCAGCATACGAAGAAACGAGTACATCTCAAAAGCGTTAATGCGGTTTTTCGATGTCTGATTGAGTGGCCAACTCTCAAAGCCGTAGAGAAATACAAAAAAAAAACAGCCTTGTACGAGCAGTTCGAAGCTTAAAGAGGCCCTACACGAAAAGATATCTGAGATATTTCAACTGTACAATCCTTAGATTCAGTACAAATTTCAACGTGTAGTGGCCGCTTCGGTAAAGATTTCATCGAAGAGATGAGATCTGCGATCTTTCAACATGGTGAATATTTTTAACTGCACAGACCACAGATTTCGCGGAAACTGTACTAGACTATAGACTGACGAAATTATCTTTTATAAAATCTGAACGTGTAGTGTGAAATAATCGCTATCGATTCAATTAAGTCAAATTAGAATACCCAAGTAAGCGAAAATTAACGTCATATACTTCTAAGTTACAGAATTTGGGCCTTGGCCTATTCGATCTTTGACAAAATTTCTAATTTCAACGCGGACTCATATATTTTACGGAATAATAATTATTTATCTTTTATTTATTTAATTTCTTGCATGCATTAATTATAGATATA